TGAAAACCTTGTGAAGACTTACAGAAAACGTTTGACCTGTGTCATTGCCAACAAAGGGTATATAACAAAGTATTGAGAAACTTTTGTTATTGACCAAATACTTATTTTCCACCATATTTTGCAAATAAATTCATAAAAAATCCTACAATGTGATTTTCTGGATTATTTTTTCTCATTTTGTCTGTCATAGTTGACGTGTACCTATGATGAAAATTACAGGCCTCTCTCATCTTTTTAAGTGGGAGAACTTGCACAATTGGTGGCTGACTAAATACTTTTTTCCCCCACTGTAGTACAAATACATCAAATGGTTGAAATTAAGATGAGGAATGTGTATCTGGGAATGTGTCGTTCTCTGCAACCTGGCTCGAGGTGAGTAAATGACTCCCTCTACTGGGATCAGAGTTTCCAGAAGCTATTCTATCCAATAGGTGGCCCGCTAAGGCAAAGTGGTTAAAAAAACATCTCATCTGTTATGGGAGCAGAGGTTGTCATAGTCTGCTGGGGTAATGAGGGGGTGGGTTAGGGTTAGGGTTAGTTTTGTTGCAGAGATTTGACTACCTTCCAGAAGGCAGCAAGATTCCCACCATTCTCAGATACACAGTTCAAGATGTACACTATATATACAAAAGTATTTGGACACCACTTCAAATTAGTGGATTCGGCTATTTCAGCCACACCCGTTGCTGACAGGTGCATAAAATCGAGCACACAGCCACGTAATCTCCATAGACAAACAATGGCTGTAGAATGGCCTGTACTGAAGAGCTCAGTAACTTTCAACATTTCACCGTCATAGGATGCCACCTTTCCACCAATTCAGTTCGTTTCCGAATGACATCACCAAGAGGTAGAATATATAGTGAAAACAATAGTGGTCCTAAAACGGAACCTTGAGTAACACTGAAACGTACAACTGGTTTGTCAGAGGACAAGCCATCCACAGAGACAAACTGATATCTTTCCAACAGATAAGATCTAAACCAGGCCAGAACTTGTCCGTGTAGACCAATTAGGGTTTCCAATCTCTCCAAAATAATGTGGTGATCGATGGTGTCAAAAGCAGCACTAAGGTCTAGGAGCACGAGGACAGATGCAGAGCCTTGGTCTGACAACATTGAAAGGTAATTTACCACCTTCACGAGAACAGTCTCAGTACTATGATGGGGTCTAAAACCAGACTGAAGCGTATCGTATACTTTATTTGTCTTCAGGAAGGCAGTGAGTTGCTGAGCAACAGCTTTTTGAAAAGAACATTACAGCAATGGGAGATTCGATATAGGCCGATAGATTTTTTTTATGTTTTCAGAATCAAGGTTTGGCTTTTTCAAGAGAGGCTTTATTACTGCCACTTTTAGTGAATTTGGTTCACATCCAGTGGATAGGGAGCCATTTATTATGTTCAACATAGGAGGGCCAAGCACAGGAAGTAGCTCTTTCAGTAGATTAGTTGGAATAGGGTCCAGTATGCAGCTGGAAGGTTTAGAGGCCATTACTATTTTCATGAATGTGTCAAGAGATACAGGATTAAAAAACTTGAGTGTCTCCATTAATACTAGGCCCTGGCAGACTCAGGACAACTGAGAAATAGATTCAAAGAGGAATTTGCATTCTAATGATTATGATCTTTTCATTCAAGAAGTTCATGAATTCATCACTGAAGAAGTGAAAGCCATCCTGTCTTGGGGAATGCTGCTTTTTAGTTAGCTTTGCAACAGTATCAAAAATAAATGTTGGATTGGTCTTATTCTCTTCAATTAGGTTGGAAAAATAGGATGATCGAGCAGCAGTGAGGGCTCTTCGATATTGCACGGTACTTTCTTTCCAAGCTAGTTGGAAGACTTCCAGTTTGGTGGAGCGCCATTTCCGTTCCAATTTTCTGGAGGCTTGCTTCAGGGCTCGGGTATTTTCTGTATACTAGGGAGCTAATTTCTTGTGACAAATGTTTTTTGTTTTTAGAGGTGCGACTGCATCTAGGGTATTACGCAAGGTTAAGTTTAGATCCTCAGTTAGGTGGTTAACTGATTTTTTAAAACTCTGATGTCCTTGGGTAGGTGGAGCGAGTCTGGAAGGGCATCTAGGAATCTTTGGGTTGTCAGAGAATTTATAGCGCGGCTTTTGATAATCCTTGGTTGAGGTCTTAGCAGATGATTTGTTGCGATTGCAAACATAATAAGATGGTGGCCAGATAGTCCAGGATTATGAGAGAAAACATTTAGATCCACAATATTTATTCCACTGGAAAAAACTAGATCCAGGGTATGACTGCATAGGTCCGGAGACCAATTGGACAAAACCCACTGAGTTGATGATGGCTCCGAAAGCCTTTTGGAGTGGGTCTGTGGACTTTTCCATGTGACTATTGAAGTCCTGTAGTATAAATAACCACAATAACCACAGTTAACCTAGTTAGATAACAACAGCCACTTTATCATCAATAACCATAGTTAACCTAGTTAAATAACCACAGCCACTCCATCATAAATAACCATAGTTAACCTTGTTAAATAACCACAGCCACTTGTCACGATCGTTATGAGAAACGGACCAAGGCGCAGCGTGATAGGCGTACATCTTTTAATGAGTACTTAAATACCAAAACGATACGTGAAGTCAAACGGTTCACCAACACAAACCTATACAGAACAAGATCCCACAATAAACAGTGCAAAACAGGCTGCCTAAGTATGGTCCCCAATCAGAGACAACGAGCTACAGCTGCCTCTGATTGGGAACCACCCTGGCCAACATAGATCTAAACGATCTAGAATGCACAACATAGAAAATATAACATAGAAGCTACACACCCTGGCTCAACATTTCAGAGTCCCCAGAGCCAGGGCGTGACACCACTCCATAATAAATAACGACACTTAACCTAGTTAAATAACTACAGCCACTCCATAATAAATGACCATAGTTAACCTAGTTAAATAACCACAGTTAATGTCTCCACCTGACTGTCTTTGAGTAGGCATGTAGTGAGGGCTTCCCCTGACAGTTTGTTGGCAAGCCTATTTATAGCCAACGTGTGTTATTGTTTTAGGAAAAGGGGATCACTGCAGTACTCAGCAAGGGCTTCCCCTGTGCTGGCTGGCAGTAATTATTTATGAATAATTTACCCCATGTTCTAAATCAGTCTTCCAATAAATAAAGTTTGATGGGTCTTTCCACCTCAAAAAGCAGAAGAAAGAGGATTGACACCCTTCGTCTCAGATTGAGATCATTTGGATTGACACCCTTCGTCTCAGATTGAGATCATTTGGATTGACACCCTTCGTCTCAGATTGAGATCATTTATGCAGTTAGAAACAGATGTGATTAGCACTCCTGAAACATTATTTGTTTAAATCAAATGTGATCTCTGAGAAAAGAAGCTCACACACCACCCCAATCCCACTCCAACAACCAGTATTCGGTATCAGTTCTCTATGTCTGACAAGTAGTATGGAGCTGCTGCTTGGAGTATTGCTTCTTCATCCTTTGTAATGTATTCCCTCTGAATCTGGTGATGTTTTTTTTTTCCTGTTCAGATAAATTAACCATTGATGTTGCTTGCACTCTTTACCATAAATAAGTGTGAAAGTACCTGGTTTTGCCCACTAGATGTCGCTGTTCCTACTACTGCCACCAAACCCTTTTAGAGATTTTGCGCGTCTCTTGTGTTTATTAAATGGATCACAACATTTTCTTTGCAACTTTGGGAAGAAAACCAATAGCTTTTCCTTATGATGAAAATAAATTGTGTGGTCATTCTCACAATTCAAGCCAGTCCTCCTTGAATGCAATTCAGCTTGTCCTTCTCTTTGCAGCCTAATGCTTCAACCCAACTCTGGTGAATAGTCCAACCACCCCCCAACCCCCCATTAACTTCGTTAACATGATATCAGTGTCCCCCTCCACCACCCCCCAACCCCCCATTAACTTTGTTAACAGTATATCAGTGTCCCCCTCTACCCACTCCCTGCCCAGATCAAGTTTGGAGCTTAGAGAAACATGTCCCTCAAATACAACAACGAAGGTCACATATCATGCAAGATCTTTAAAATAACTGGTCATAAACTCTTAGTCTGCAGGGTGTGAATGTTCTCTCCACCCACAAACACGTAAATATCTTCTGTCTACTTAAATATCTAAACATTTGTTAAAGATTTTAAACATTAATTTAATATGGTTTCACCAGGATGGACTCACTCCATTACAGTATTTGAGTCCCAGTGGTATTTGATAATGTCATAATTCTTAGTAATAGCAACTATCATTTACATAAATTCAGATAAATTATATTGATATTAATATTCCATTCCAAAGTCATGTAATGGAGTGTGGTGTTCCTGGAAGTTGGTGACGCTGGTGAGACAGAGAGACACAGAGGTCTCTCCTCCAATCCATTTCCTTAACCAGAACGGTCCATAATTAACTTGTGTTTGGTTGGCACTTTCAACCAGATATAAGGAGGCTGAGGCATCAGCATCCACAAGTCAGATACCTTCTTCCTCTGTGGTAAGACTGTCTCCATCTCCTCACATTTTTACATTTGTCTCATATTTGTGCTCAGCATCTGCGACAGTAACTAACTGCACTGTTTAAATTGAGTTCTGCATTTTTTTTACGTGTCTATTGTAAGATGTTACAATACGCAATCAAGTGGCTTTGATTTAAAATGTTGCTTAAAAACATGTGTATAACTTTAAATGTGTTTTACTTAAAATCTGTAACTTTCATTTACTTTCAAAAGTGGTCCTCCTAAATTGAGGGGGTGGTCTAGAATGTAACTGAGTTTTCAGGGGTATATATTTGAATTCTTGACATAATGTGTAGTAAAGTGAGTTGCCACTAGGAAAATTAAAGTTACCAGTTGCACCTATAGTTGAATTGGAAATGGGCGTAATGATTGTGTTGAATGATGCCATTCAAAACGTTTTCTAGCCCTTCGGGGGATAAATTATAAGGCTTTAGACTTGTGAATATTCACAACACCCTACTCTTTAACAGCGTCCTCCAAGAAGTACAAATTCATCTGTAGGAGGGGGAAAAGAAGGTGAGACATGGTTTTAGTCTTCACATAAAAAGTGACAAAAATGTTCTGTGAGAAATATCACTCACCTATCTGTTGACTGGTGAGGAAGAACCACAGAGGCAATCATGTTCCTTTTTCTTATTTAATCTCTTTCCTAGTGATCCGTCACCATGAGTACGGACGCGGAGATGGCCATCTATGGCAAGGCTGCCATATACCTCCGTAAGCCTGAAAGGGAAAGGATTGAGGCTCAAACAGCACCCTTTGATTCAAAGAATTCCTGCTATGTGTCAGATGCCAAGGAGCTTTACCTTAAGGGTTTAATTACTGGCCAGGGCCGATGGAAAGTCTACTGTGACAGTCACAAATCCTGACGGCACTAAGGAGGTAAGCCTGATTTTGAAAAGTGTTGAAGTTTGTGCAATTACTCTATTTCTTCAATAAAACCTTCAAAATGATAAAAAAATATGCCATAAGGCAAACTTAAATTAGTAACAAAAGACAGATTAAGAAGCATTTCTTTGTTTTTTGTAAACAGAATATAACCTTTAAACATAGCTACTATTTAAAAACGGCATGGTAATTTTTTATATTGACTAGTCAAAAATCACCATGTATATATCAGTGGGTGAAAACAAAGTAGTTGGATTGAACAGGGCTATGCATTTTTTAAAATATTGAACTTTCAGTCATGTCCAGTTTGATCTGCGTGTAATCTAGATTTCTGACTGTTTCAGGAAGGAAAAGAGTTCAAAGATGCAGACATCTTCCAGATGAACCCCCCTAAGTACGACAAGATTGAGGACATGGCCATGATGACCTACCTGAATGAAGCCTCTGTGTTGTATAACCTCAAAGAGCGTTATGCAGCATGGATGATCTATGTAAGAAGCCTGCATAAACACAGACACACATACATGAACATAACAAACCCACACATACACTACTACACATCAATACATGGTAGAAACCAAAACATATCAATACAGCAGGTCTACATCAGTATACCAGAGTACACCCACGTCCTCACAGAAATCCAAGTAAATGTCAGTCAGATTTTGCTAATCCCCTAATTTCATTGAATCCCTTTCATCCAGACCTACTCTGGGCTCTTCTGTGCCACGGTGAACCCCTACAAGTGGCTCCCCGTGTACGACATGGAGGTTGTCAACGCCTACAGAGGGAAGAAGAGGATGGAGGCTCCACCCCATATCTTCTCCGTCTCTGACAACGCCTTTCAGTTCATGCAGATTGGTACGAGCTCTCACGGATGGATGAATGGATGGATGGATGGATGGATGAAAGTTAAAATATGCTTTAGAGAGGTATCTCCTGTTTTCTAGTCTAGGTTAGAACAGTTTGCTGGGAATATCTGATTTCACTAGCCTTGAATGGAACATGTTCCAAAATGAAATTCATGATGATGCTATTTGTATTTGTATTTATTATGGTTCCCCATTAGTTCCTGCCAAGGCAGCAGCTACTCTTCCTGGGGTTTATTATGGATCCCCATTAGTTCCTGCCAAGGCAGCAGCTACTCTTCCTGGGGTTTATTATGGTTCCCCATTAGTTCCTGCCAAGGCAGCAGCTACTCTTCCTGGGGTTTATTATGGATCCCCATTAGTTCCTGTCAAGGCAGCAGCTACTCTTCCTGGGGTTTATTATGGTTCCCCATTAGTTCCTGACAAGGCAGCAGCTACTCTTCCTGGGGTTTATTATGGTTCCCCATTAGTTCCTGCCAAGGCAGCAGCTACTCTTCCTGGGGTTTATTATGGATCCCCATTAGTTCCTGCCAAGGCAGCAGCTACTCTTCCTGGGGTTTATTATGGATCCCCATTAGTTCCTGACAAGACAGCCGCTAATCTTCCTGGGGTTTATTATGGATCCCCATTAGTTCCTGCCAAGGCAGCAGCTACTCTTCCTGGGGTCCAGTAGCATTAAGGCAGTTATATACAATTACAAAAATTACATTATATTTCATAACACTTTTCACAACACATTAAGTGTACTATATTACGTATTGGATCACTAACAAATACAACTTTTACATTACCGTGTAGTTGACCAATAAAATGGTCTGATGGGGATGTGGACATACTCGGTATACATATCCCGAAAGAAATTATCTCACTCCAATAAACTTTAATAGAAAGTTAGCAAAAATAGATAAGATCTTGCTACCATGGAAAGGAAAATACCTGTCTATTTGTGGAAAAATCCCCCTGATTAACTCCTTAGTCGTATCCCAGTTTACCTATTTGCTTATGGTCTTGCCTACACCAGCAACCTGTTATTTAAATTATATGAGCAAAAAATATTCCATTTCATTTGGAATGGCAAGCCAGACAAAATTAAAAGGTCCTATTTATATAATGAATATGAATTCGGAGGGCAGAAATGATTAAATATTAAATCATTAGACCTCTCACTGAAGGCGTCAGTCATACAAAAGTTATACTTAAATTCGAACTGGTTCTCTAGCAAATTAGTAAGAATGTCTCACCCCATGTTCAAGAATGGCCTTTTCCCTTTATTCAGATTACAAACTCTCACTTTCGGTTATTTAAATACGAAATCATCTCCAAAATATATTTATATTTAAAACAAGCCATAGAAAGTTGGTTGCAATTTCTGTTTAATCCACCAGAAAAGACAGAACAAATAATACAACAAATATTGTGGTTAAAGTCAAACATACTAATTGATTAAAACAAACATTATAAAAAATTAAATAAAAAATAGTATAATCTTTGTAAATGATATCATAAATAGGACTGGTGGAGTTATGTCACACATGCAGCAAAAATATATGGAAATGTCTGCTCCACCCAAAATTACAACCAACTAATTGCAGCATTACGGCAAAAATGGAAGAGGCAAGTGGAAGGGGGAAAAAGTAAGGAACTTGTCTGTCGGCCTGCATTAAAGACCAAAATTGGTTAAAGAAAATTGTGATAAATAAAAATATATGGCAATTTCATTTCAGGACCAAATAATTGGCCGCTGTACCATATAGATTGCAAAATAGTTGGGAAGAGATTTCCGATATACCGATTCCATTGCACATGGTTTATGAACTGATACGCAAAATTACGCCGGATTCAAAACTTATAATTTTTCGATGTAAATTATTATACAAAATTCTTGCAACCAATATAATTGTATATATATGGGGGATATAACCTTCCTAGCTCTGCAGATTTTGCTGCAAAGAGACAGAGTCATTAGATCATTTATTTTGGTACTGTCCATATGTAGCTTGTTTTTGGTCACAGGTCCAGGAATGACTGAAGAATTGCAACATTTACCGGGAGCTAACACTGCAGATAGCAATACTGGGTGATTTGAAAAGTGAAAGTCACTCGATCAATAATAAAATAATAATTTTAGCAAAAATCTTTACCTTTAATTTACAATATGTAGAAACTATGAGAATAGAAAGGTTTAGAACTTTTGTGAAGCATCACAGCACAGTTGAAAAATATGGCAAATAAAAATCCAGTATGGATGGTGTTAAGAGATAGATGGGAGGGGTTGAGTGGACCTGAAGGGTGGGACTAATAACAACAAGATAACAAAGGTAAAATATACTGTGTCTGTAAAATGTATATAGGTTCAGAACTTTTGGGAAACAGCACAGTTAAAAAATATATGGCAAATCGAAATCAAACTGGATGGACATCAGAGATAGATGGGAGAGGGTAGAGGGTAGAATTAAAAACAAACAAAATAAAATTATTGAAAATTAGATTGTGTCCGTAAAATGTATATAGTATGTATAAGATGGAAGTAGAAGCCTAAGTGTTGTTGTTCATTAGTTTACCCCAATTAGGGGAGGGGTGGTAGGGTTAGTGGAAAATAATAAAGGAACAAATATTTTTAAAAGATATGTGTGTATATATATATATATAAATATATTTACCCCCAAAAAATATGGGGGTTTGGAAATGATGCAGACAATTACATTGATGGAAGCCACTCCCGTGTGGCGCAGTGGTCTAAGGCACTGCATCGCAGTGCTAGCTGTGCCACTAGAGATCCTGGTTCGAATCCAAGCTCTGTTGTAGCCGGCCGCGACCGGGAGACCCATGGGGCGGCACGCAATTGGCCCAGCGTTGTCCAGGGTAGGGGAGGGAATGGCTGGCAGGGATGTAGCTCAGTTGGTAGAGGATGGTGTTTGCATCGCCAGGGTTGTGGGTTCGATTCCCACGGGGGCCAGTATGAAAAATAAATAAAAATAATGTATGCACTCACTAACTGTAAGTCGCTCTGGATAAGAGTGTCTACTAAAATGTAAATAATTAACAGAGAGTAGCAGCAGCATAAAAAAGTAAAAGAGTGTGGTGGGGTCAGTGCAGTCTCATGGCTTGGGGGTAGAAGCTGTTAAGGAGCCTTTTGGACCTTGACTTGGCGCTCCGGTACCGCTTGCCGTGCGGTAGCAGAGAGAACAGTCTATGACTAGGGTGGCTGGAGTCTTTGACAATTTTTAGGGCCTTCATCTGACACTGCCTGGTATAGAGGTCCTGGATGGCAGGAAAATTGGCCCCAGTGATGTACAGGCCTTACACACTACCCTCTGTAGTGCCTTGCGATCGGAGGCCGAGCAGTTGCCATACCAGGTGTGATGCAACCAGTTAGGTGGTGCAGCTGTCAAAATTTGGGAGGAGCTAAGGACCCATGCCAAATCATTTCAGTCTCCTGAGGGGGAATGGGCGTTGTCGTGCCCTCTTCACAACTGTCTTGGTGATAGTTTAAACAGATTGCTTGGTGCATTTAACATGTCAATACTTCTCACAAATACAAGTAGTGATGAATTCAATCTCTCCTCTACTTTGAGCCAGGGGAGATTGATGTTAGCTCTCCATGTACATTTAAGGGCCAGCCATGCTGCCCTCTTCTGGGCCAATTGTAATGTCTCTCTTTGTGACACTTGACCACATGACCGGACAGTATTTTAATTTGTATTTATTATGGATCCGCATTAGCTGCTGCCAAGTAGTCCAGATGCAACAAAACTAGGGCCTGTAGGACCTGCCTTGTTGATAGTGCTGTTAAGAAGGTAGAGCAGCGCTTTATTATGGACAGACTTCTCCCCATCTTAGCTACTGTTGCATCAATATGTTTTGACAATGACAGTTTACAATCCAATGTTACTCCAAGCAGTTTAGTCTCTTCAACTTGCTCAATTTCCACATTATTCATTACAAGATTTAGTTGAGGTTTAGGGTTTAGTGAATGACTTGTCCCAAATACAATGCTTTTAGTTTTAGAAAATATTTAGGACTAACATATTTCTTGCCACCCATTCTGAAACTAACTGCAGCTCTTTGTTAAGTGTTGCAGTCATTTCACTTGCTGTAGTAGCTGATGTGTATAGTGTTGCGTCATCAGAATACATAAACACACAGGCTTTACTCAGAGCCAGTGGCAGGTCATTAGTAAAGATTGATAAAAGTAAGGGGCTTTGACAGCTGCCCTGGGGAATGCCTGGCTCTACCTGGATTATGTTTGAGAGACTTCCATTAAATAATACCCTCTGTGTTCTGTTAGACAGGTAACTCTCAATCCACAATATAGCAGAGAACGTAAAGCAATATGTTTTTCCAGCAGCAGATAATGTCAAAAGCTGCACTGAAGTCTAACAAAACAGCCCCCAAAATCTCTAAGCCAATAATCAGGCATCTGTGTAAATACAGTACCTGTTGCTATGTACCCATAATGTTGTTTGAGTAAAATAATCAATATGTTTTTGGTTACAGATAATGAGAACCAGTCCGTCCTGATTACGTAAGTTGTTTACTAGAATTTCACTTGAGAAAGTATTTCTATCAGAACTTGGGTGTTATGACATTATGAATGGATTAGGACCAGTCAGTCCTGATTACTTGGGTGTTATGACATTATGAATGGATTAGGACCAGTCAGTCCTGATTACTTGGGTGTTATGACATTATGAATGGATTAGGACCAGTCAGTCCTGATTACTTGGGTGTTATGACATTATGAATGGATTAGGACCAGTCCGTCCTGATTACTTGGGTGTTATGACATTATGAATGGATTAGGACCAGTCAGTCCTGATTACTTGGGTGTTATGACATTATGAATGGATTAGGACCAGTGCGTCCTGATTACTTGGGTGTTATGACATTATGAATGGATTAGGCTACTCGTAATGCGAAGTCCATTAGTGGGAATATTTGTTAATAATTTACTGATGGAACAAAACAGATCAACAGTGTATTCTCAATGAAACCCAATCTGACACTAAAACATGTGACTAAAACCCCTATGTCTGTGTCATATAAACCAGTGGAGAATCCGGTGCAGGAAAGACTGTCAACACCAAGCGTGTCATCCAGTACTTCGCCACCATTGCCGTGTCTGGTGGAGAAAAGAAAAAGGATGAGCCTGGCAAAATGCAGGTAGGTTGTGCTTGTGTTTCCATTTTAACACATTTCAGTCTGATGGGCTGTGTAAACTTTTTTTTTCCAGCGGTGAATCCTGTCTCAAGAAAGTGTTCAAGCTATTAAGAAAAAACAAACTTTACCTCTTTACCAGTTTCCGAGCTACTTCTGTTTATCTCAATCAGGGCTCTCTTGAGGATCAGATCATTGCAGCTAACCCTCTGCTGGAGGCTTACGGTAATGCCAAGACAGTGAGGAACGACAACTCGTCTCGCTTTGTAAGTATGAAGGGCATACTGTGGAAGTTACCTTGTATTGGAAACATTTATTTTAGTAGTTGTTAAATCAATATATGTCCAACAAACTGTAACATTTAAAGGGGTGTATCAAAATAGTTGACCTATTTCTAACCCCCATGCTCTACTATAGGGTAAATTCATCAGGATTCATTTCCAAGGAGGCAAACTGGCTAAAGCTGACATTGAGACCTGTGAGTTGGTTTGATTGTTTCTCAATGCTTTCCTAAATTCACACAGATCATTTTCTTGAGACCATATCATCAAATGTAATCTCTCTCTCTCTCTCTCAGACCTGCTGGAGAAGTCCAGAGTGTCCTTCCAGCTGCCCGATGAGAGAGGCTACCACATATTTTTCCAAATGATGACAGGCCACAAACCTGAGATAGTTGGTATGGAAAAGTAGAGGTTCAGAGAAGATTATTCCCACCCCTACCTGTGGAATGAGTACATTCATGGTACCAAGGCATCTAGACAAAGATCTATCAAGTAATGCACTGTGAAGCACTAGTCCAGGAGCCTCAGTCCCCTCTTTTGATGCTATTTATTATATACTACATGTATCCTTGAGTCCATCTATTGAGTAAAGGAGGGAGAGATACTGTAAACGTAGGACAGCACAATTCTAAGAGATTTAACTGACAAGCCGTTCTCCGCTGTCCACAGAAATGGCGCTAATCACCACCAACCCCTACGACTTCCCCATGTGCAGCCAGGGTCAGATTACTGTGGCCAGCATCAATGACAAGGAAGAGCTGGATGCCACAGACGTGAGTCATACAAAGGGTTAATCAAACTCTAGATATGGAATGGGTAGAACCACCATACACACTGAACGCAGTGAGCAATTTCGACTTGGTGGCAGTTGGGAATTTTCATGTATGTTTTAGTTTGATTCTAAATGCCTTGTGTCAGTTAGGCATGTGCCTTCCCACTTCACCTTGGGGCACACACATGGAAGACATCCACAAGAGAGTGCCACTAAGTGCCCTGTGGAACTGTGTAAAACCCATTTTGTGCTGCCATCTACTAGTGTGTTGGCCAAGAGTAATCATGTGGAACAGAGAAGCCAGTCAATTCCATTCATCCCATTTGTTCTGGAGTGAGCACAGAACTGTATCGTGATGTAACTGAGCAAATTACCATTGAGTTAATCACTTTTATACGTCCTCTCTAATGCCAGGATGCCATTGGAATCCTGGGCTTCACTAATGAGGAGAAGATGGGCATCTACAAGCTGACAGGAGCTGTATTGCACCATGGAAACTTACACTTCAAGCAGAAGCAGCGTGAGGAGCAGGCCGAGCCAGACGGCACAGAGGGTGAGTCCCATTCATTGATATACAATATGTAAAGCATTAGTCCCATTCATTGATATACATTATGTAAAGCATTAGTCCCATTCATTGATATACATTATGTAAAGCAGTAGTCCCACTCATTGATATACAATATGTACAGTGGGGAAAAAAAGTATTTAGTCAGCCACCAATTGTGCAAATTCTCCCACTTAAAAAGATGAGAGAGGCCTGTAATTTTCATCATAGGTACACGTCAACTATGACAGACAAATTGAGAAAGAAAAATACAGAAAATCACATTGTAGGATTTTTAAAGAATTTATTTGCAAATTATGGTGGAAAATAAGTATTTGGTCACCTACAAACAAGCAAGATTTCTGGCTCTCACAGACCTGTAACTTCTTCTTTAAGAGGCTCCTCTGTCCTCCACTCGTTACATGTATTAATGGCACCTGTTTGAACTTGTTATCAGTATAAAAGACACCTGTCCATAACCTCAAACAGTCACACTCCAAACTCCACTATGGCCAAGACCAAAGAGCTGTCAAAGGACACCAGAAACAAAATTGTAGACCTGCACCAGGCTGGGAAGACTGAATCTGCAATAGGTAAACAGCTTGGTTTGAAGAAATCAACTGTGGGAGCAATTATTAGGAAATGGAAGACATACAAGACCACTGATAATCTCCCTCGATCTGGGGCTCCACGCAAGATCTCACCCTGTGGGGTCAAAATGATCACAAGAACGGTGAGCAAAAATCCCAGAACCACACGGGGGGACCTAGTGAATGACCTGCAGAGAGCTGGGACCAAAGTAACAAAGCCTACCATCAGTAACACACTACGCCGCCAGGGACTCAAATCCTGCAGTGCCAGACGTGTCCCCCTGCTTAAGCCAGTACATGTCCAGGCCCGTCTGAAGTTTGCTAGAGTGCATTTGATGATCCAGAAGAGGATTGGGAGAATGTCATATGGTCAGATGAAACCAAAATAGAACTTTTTGGTAAAAACTCAACTCGTCGTGTTTGGAGGACAAAGAATGCTGAGTTGCATCCAAAGAACACCATACCTACTGTGAAGCATGGGGGTGGAAACATCATGCTTTGGGGCTGTTTTTCTGCAAAGGGACCAGGACGACTGATCCGTGTAAAGGAAAGAATGAATGGGGCCAGGTATCGTGAAATTTTGAGTGAAAACCTCCTTCCATCAGCAAGGGCATTGAAGATGAAACGTGGCTGGGTCTTTCAGCATGACAATGATCCCAAACACACCGCCCGGGCAACGAAGGAGTGGCTTCGTAAGAAGCATTTCAAGGTCCTGGAGTGGCCTAGCCAGTCTCCAGATCTCAACCCCATAGAAAATCTATGGAGGGAGTTGAAAGTCCGTGTTGCCCAGCGACAGCCCCAAAACAGCACTGCTCTAGAGGAGATCTGCATGGAGGAATGGGCCAAAATACCAGCAACAGTGTGTGAAAACCTTGTGAAGACTTACAGAAAACGTTTGACCTGTGTCATTGCCAACAAAGGGTATATAACAAAGTATTGAGAAACTTTTGTTATTGACCAAATACTTTTTTTCCACCATAATTTGCAAATAAATTCATTAAAAATCCTACAATGTGATTTTCTGGATTTTTTTTCTCATTTTGTCTGTCATAGTTGACGTGTACATATGATGAAAATTACAGGCCTCTCTCATCTTTTTAAGTGGGAGAACTTGCACAATTGGTGGCTGACTAAATACTTTTTCCCCCACTGTAAAGGATTACTCCCATTCCCAGTCCCAAACATTGAAATAGAACACGTAAGACAGACAGTACCACATGAAAGTCAGGCAGGAGACCAAATTCCAACCTCCAGAAATGATTTGAAATGATGGATGTGGGTGAAAATCAAAACCTAACCCACAAAAGAGTGACATCAGAAACAAGCATGAGTCTGTTGTTGTTGGTTCTCTCTCCAGTGGCTGATAAAATCGGCTACCTACTGGGCCTGAACTCAGCTGAGATGTTGAAGGCTCTCTGCTACCCCAGAGTGAAGGTCGGCAACGAGTATGTGACCAAGGGACAAACTGTGCCTCAGGTAAGGTGGTAAATAACAGCATCATCTGAGCACAGGAATTATCTTGGGGATGACTGCATTTCTTATTTTATTTTTAACCCCCTTTTTCTCCCAATTTCAATTACGATCTTGTCTCATCGCTGCAACTCCCCAACGGGCTCGGGAGAGGCGAATAGTAATGTGTTTCTCCCCAAGCTTTTATCACCTTATTACTAGACATGGTCAATATCTCATGTATTCATTTGAGCTATTATTATTGCAGGTTAATAACTCAGTCTCGGCCCTGGCCAAGTCCATCTATGAGAGGATGTTCTTGTGGATGGTTATCCGTATCAACCAGATGTTGGACACCAAGAATCCAAGGAAGTACTATATCGGTGTGCTCGACATTGCTGGGTTTGAGATTTTTGATGTGAGTATGAGACAATAACAAGACAATTAGTTATGATTGAGAGGGATTACAGCCTTGTATGATGAAATGATCCCTTTTGAAATTCCATCAACAGTACAACAGCATGGAGCAGCTGTGCATCAACTTCACCAATGAGAAACTGCAACAGTTTTTCAACCACACCATGTTCGTCCTGGAGCAAGAGGAGTACAAGAAGGAGGGAATAGTCTGGGCCTTCATTGACTTCGGCATGGACTTGGCTGCCTGCATTGAGCTTATTGAGAAGGTAAGCTGTCTGTGAAATTAAAATGGACCGCATCACCATAGCTCACAGGGAGCGCTTTGTGAGATATTATCACAGTGGTACAATACATCTGTCTGTTGCGAACTCGGTATGTTTCCTATGATATGCCACTAAATGAATATAATCCTATAATAGTATGTTTGGTAAAGGAATACATGTGATTCTAAATGTAAATTTCACTAATTTGATATACATCTCTTTTCGTGAAGCCAATGGGCATCTTCTCCATCCTTGAAGAGGAGTGCATGTTCCCCAAGTCTTCAGACACTACATTCAAGAACAAGCTTTACGACCAGCATCTTGGCAAAAACCAGGCATTTGAGAAGCCCAAGCCTGCCAAAGGCAAGGCAGAGGCCCACTTCTCCCTGGTACACTATGCCGGTACTGTGGACTACAACATTACTGGCTGGCTGGACAAGAACAAGGACCCCCTGAATGATTCTGTTCTTCAGCTGTACGGGAAGTCCTCAGTGAAACTGTTGGCTACCCTGTATGTTGCTGCCCCACCTGAGGGTAAGACTAGCATCACATCAAAATATTTAATTAAGCAATACCCACTGGGCACACTTGGAAGTTGAAATGACGTGGTGTTCATTTGTAGACAAACTGCATATTGAATTGTTCTTGGTTGTCAACGCAAACAAATATCAACAGAGTATCTTCTGCTTGGATAGTTCCATCTGTGCCACTGATTTCATCTGCCTTTACCTCCAGTTTGTCTTCAAATTAATCATTGATATGGTGGATTCACGTCTCCATCCAAACCAAAAATCCAATCAAACTTTAAATGCACTTTAAATAAAGTTTGATTTGATTTAGTCCTATTCTTTAACTTGATTCTTGGTTGAGATTGAGATGTCAATCCAACATATTAATTATTCATATTCAAATCAAATCAAATCCAATTGTATTTGTCACATGCGCCGAATACAACAGGTGTAGACCTTACAGTGAAATGCTTCCTTACAAGCCCTTAACCAACAATGCAGTTTAAAGAAAAATAAGAGTTAAGTAAAACATGGATAAGTACAAATATTTGGTTTAGTCATATTACTTAACTTCCATTTTTGGTTGAGATGGAGACGTGAATTGAACATCTTAATGATTAACTTGAAGATTACATTTGAAATCCACCAAAGCTTGAAACCCTAGGCCTATATTTATTATCTATTTTCAGTTGAACCCTGGGTAGAACCCTGGGTAGAATTTGAACCCTGGGTAGAATTTGAACCCTGGGTAGAATTTGAACCCTGGGTAGATGACTTCCCTAATGTTATATAGGCCTAAGTAGCATCATTGATGATATATGACTTATAAAGTATTGTTACATTTAATTTTCTCTGTTAAACCTACCCTTTCGAATTGTTTTTGATAGCAACAGTTCATATATTTAGTTATTAAGAGAAAGCTCAATCATCATTCTCCCGATAGCACGTTGGTAACAGTCTGTAACAAGTATGAAAGCCAAGCAGGGCTAGGCTTGGTTAAAACACTGGATGGGGAACCAAACGGTAGCTGTAGATAGATCAATTCTCCAGTAGGAGGTGCTTCCCAGCCTACTGTTTTTTTCTGATAGAGGATATAACGTTGTTTCAAAGGTACAAATTCAACATATTTTATACAAGGTTTTTCTATGTTGAAATTGGTTACAATGATGACATAGTCCTGTGTATGAAATTTCACCTTCAAAACAATAGTTGATTACTTTTTCAAATCCAGTGTATTTTCCATGTAGATTCCACGTCCCAATACATTGACAAATTACATTGAAACAACATCGCTTTAACCCGTTTGTGCCCAGTGGGTAGTTACAACTCAGACCCACATTTTCTTTAAAGTCTTTGAATGTATCACATTTCTCAGTGTTATTCCCTGGGTTCATTTACTCATACCCAGGGTGTTATTTTACATAATCTCATTATTTGCATTAAGATAAATGTGAAGTTAACCCGAGATTGTTTAGTTTATAATGATCTCTTACTTTTCCCCATTTGAACAGATACAAGCAAGAAAGGAGGCAAGAAGAAGGGTGGTTCCATGCAGACTGTATCCTCCCAGTTCAGGGTGAGCTTTTGAAATGTGTATTTTCAGTCCTTCAAAAGGTGCATTGATTATCATAAATTACTAATGAAAACATGGTTTGTAACCCTCTTACAGGAGAACTTGGGCAAGCTGATGACCAACTTGAGGAGCACTCATCCTCACTTTGTGCGCTGCCTGATCCCCAACGAGTCAAAGACTCCAGGTACAAGAAATATTGAGTTAAATACTATATGTTATCAGTAATCCTAACGAGCACAATCTTGAACCAGTTTCTGAGTATTAAAAGAGACTTGGTTTGTTTTTCCAGGTCTGATGGAGAACTTCCTGGTTATCCACCAGCTCAGGTGTAACGGTGTACTGGAGGGTATCAGGATCTGCAGGAAGGGCTTCCCCAGCAGAATCATCTATGCTGACTTCAAGCAGAGGTACACACACATTCACATTACATTTACATTTGTGTCATTTAGCAGATGCTGTTGTCCAGCAGCATGACACCCTGCTTCCCACTGCTGGCTTGCCTCTGAAGCTAAGCAGGGTTGGTCCTGGATGGGAGACCAGATGCTGCTGGAAGTGGTGCTGGAAGTGGTGTTGTTGCTCTTCCCTCTGCTCTGAGGAGATCCCAATGCGCCAGGGCAGTTAAACGGGTGTCCTGACTCTCTGTGGACATTCAAAATCCCATGGCATGAAACGTAAGAGCGCGGGTGTTATTAACCCCCGGTCTCCTGGCTTCATCTCCAATCTGACCACCTAATCATCCCCTTTCCAATTGGTTCATTCCTCTCCCCTGTAACTATTCCCCAGGTTGTTGCTGGAAATGAGAATGTGTTCTCAGTCAACTCACCTGGTAAAAAATATATCCTTTTCGTACTGGTCCCCCGCACGCACACACAAAACCACGGAAAAGATCTACTCTAAAGGTTTTCCCTGCATGAGAATATGCTTTCCTTTAACGTAATATAACCAACCTATTGCAACTTGACATATGTTAAACATGTCTCCTCATTCAGGTATAAAGTACTGAATGCCAGTGTCATCCCCGAAGGCCAGTTCATGGACAACAAGAAGGCTTCTGAGAAGCTGCTTGGGTCCATTGATGTGAATCACGAGGATTACAAGTTTGGACACACCAAGGTCAGTCAAATACCCCCAGCAAAAGCTGACAACAAAACACAACTTCAATGATCATTTAAACCCTTACCATTCAAAATCTCTCCAGTTGATCTCTCCAGTTGATCTCTCCAGTTGATCTCTCCAGTTGATCTCTCCAGTTGATCTCTCCAGTTGATCTATCCAGTTGATCTCTCCAGTTGATCTATCCACCCTGTTAGTCTTTCTTCTTCATGAAGCTAATATAAGAAGGTGGAGAAACATTGTACTGTTGTTTTCTTCAAGTAAAGAAGAGATGAATTAACCTGTGCATTGTGTTACAGTGGTATGGCTGCAGTTATCTGTATCGGTTTACATTATTCATCTACAACTGTACAATACAAATCAAATGTTATTGGTCATATACACATATTTAGCAGATGTTATTGCGGGTGTAGCGAAATGCTTGTGTTCCGAGCTCCAACAGTGCAGTAGTATCTAACAATACACAACAATACACACTAATCTAAAAGTAAAAGAATGGAATTAAGACATTTATAAATATTAGATTGAGCAATGTTGGAGTGGCATTGACTAAAATACAGTAGAATATAATACAGTGTATATATATATATATATATATATGAGATGAGTAAAGCAGTATGTAAACATTATTAAAGTGACTAGTGTTCCATTATTAAAGTGGCCAGGGTCCATGTCATGTACATAGGGCAGCAGCCTCTAAGGTGCAGGGTTGAGTAACCAGGTGGTAGCCGGCTAGTGATGGCTATTTAACAGTCTGATGGCCTTGAGATGTAACCAGGTGGTAGCCGGCTAGTGATGGCTATTTAACAGTCTGATGGCCTTGAGATATACCTTACAACTTATGAACACACTATCCCATGGTCTGTTTGTGGTGTTGTTCCTCTCTTTTGATTGAAACTTTCTATCTGCCACCATCTGACTGGCTCCCTAATTGACCATGTTTACATGTGGCTCAGGTGTTCTTCAAAGCCGGTCTGCTGGGTGTCCTGGAGGAGATGAGAGATGAGAAGCTGGCCTCTCTGGTCGGCATGGTCCAGGCTCTCAGCCGTGGATTCCTCATGAGGAGAGAGTTCACCAAGATGATGGAGAGGAGGTGAGGAATAGCAGACATCTTGGCAAAGCTTCCTGTCAACCACCTGTATGTAATGAATTATGATTCCATACTGTATATGCTGTGAGTTGTTCACAATGAGAAAGTACGTCTTATAATGTTCTATTAAAGCTGCAGTTTAGGATTTGGCAAGCTGTTCAATTGTCATTTAAATGTGTCATATTTACCCATTGATTCTTGAAGAATATGAAATGCCTCATGAGCTTAGCATGACCTGTAAGTCCTTGAATATAGAGCGCTGTCTATGAATTTAAGAGAGGTTACCTTTCCCTTGCCGCCTTCCTCAGCTGTATACAGTTTTGTTGTTCTTCCTCTCGCAGAATGTAGCTTGTCAGTCACCATACCACTTTATCCTTTCTGTTGACCAGAGATGCCGTCTACTCCATCCAGTACAACATCCGCTCATTCATGAATGTAAAAACCTGGCCATGGATGAAGGTGTACTTCAAGATCAAGCCCCTACTGAAGAGTGCTGAGACTGAGAAGGAGATGGCCAACATGAAGGAGAACTATGAGAAGATGCAGACAGACCTGGCCAAGGCTCTGGCCAAGAAGAAGGAGTTGGAGGAGAAGATGGTGACCCTGCTGCAGGAGAAGAATGACCTGGCACTCCAAAACGCATCTGTGAGTGAGCAACAACCTTCATAAGAGTACATTTACACACACATGATACACACACAGAGACACATGCAAGCAGACAGACACACACACAGACACACACACAGACACACACTTTCACACTCTCCACATACACTGCTGCTACTCTGTTTATTATCTATCCTGATTGACTAGTCACTTTTACCCCTACCTACATGTACATATTACCTCAACTACCAACACTGCTGCTACTGTTTATTATCTATCCTGATTGACTAGTCACTTTTACCCCTACCTACATGTACATATTACCTCAACTACCAACACTGCTGCTACTCTGTTTATTATCTATCCTGATTGACTAGTCACTTTTACCCCTACCTACATGTACATATTACCTCAACTACCAACACTGCTGCTACTCTGTTTATTATCTATCCTGATTGACTAGTTACTTTTACCCCTACCTACATGTACATATTACCTCAACTACCAACACTGCTGCTACTCTGTTTATTATCTATCCTGATTGACTAGTCACTTTTACCCCTACCTACATGTACATATTACCTCAACTACCAACACTGCTGCTACTCTGTTTATTATCTATCCTGATTGGCTAGTCACTTTTACCCCTACCTACATGTACATATTACCTCAACTACCAACACTGCTGCTACTCTGTTTATTATCTATCCTGATTGCCTAGTCACTTTTACCCCTACCCACATTTACATTCTGTATTACCTCAACTACCTGGTACCCCTGCACATTGACTCTGTACTGGTACTCCTTGTATATAGCCTCGTTATTGTTATTTATTGTGTTACTATTTTCTATTTGTCTTTGCTAATTTTCTTCTTAACTCTGCATTGTTGGTTAAGGGCTCATAAGTTAGCATATCACGGTAAAGTCTACACCTGTTGCATTCGGCGTATATGACAAAAAACATTTGATTTGATGAACACAGGCGTACAGTGTGAAGTAGTGATAACTGCTAAAATAAAGGAAACCCAAACATAACGTTTCTTAAAGGACCCCTCCAGAGGAAGTTGCCGCCACGACTTGGATGTAATTCCGATCCTAGTGCGGAAATGCTCGTTTAGTTTCACACTCCAAACTACGACATATGACTCCTTATAAATATTGATTAATTCACATAGCACATCTCCACCTTCCTCCGAGTGCACAGCCCATACAGTTTCTGGCACAGCCCACACTCCGTTTAAACAAACCAAAAAAGCCAGGGTCAGGGTAGCTTTGCTAATTGCTACGGAGCACAGCACAGCTAGCTATGACAAGGCGGAGGACCATCCACTCTCCTCCTCCGTCTTCTGCAACGGAACTGAATTATCAAGGATGAATACAGAGTTGTAGCTGTAATACTGGAGTTTTACTGGTGAAGTTAGAGGCTAGTTAACCTACTCCCTAGACCAATAATGCTAGCAAGCCAGGTAGCTACTGGTAACTATTAGCAACTTGGGATAATTGGTTCAAGTATAAGAGTAATGTTACCTGTAACTATGTTAGCTAGCCACTATTCAGCTATTTTTCTGAAAACCTCATCTGAAGAGTAGAGATTAGGTAGTTAGTAACTAGCTAGCTAGCTAGCGACTGCACTCAAAATGTAGCTAGCTTGTTAGCTACCTGGCTAGCTATCTAGCTAACTAAACAACAGCTGGAGTAACCTAGCTGTAATGTTTACAAGAATCCCCACTAGCTGGCTACTAGACAACCAATATAACATTTGGCCCTAAAGCTTTTTGTAGGGAGCCAAGGAAAGCAAATCTTGCCTGTATCAGTGATGGACAGTAGCTAGAATGTGGACCAATATTTTTATAGCAATATAGCTAGCTACTAATACAATAGCCCAACGTCTTGTACATTGTTTTGATGTGCCGGTTAGAATAAGGCTGTCACTTGGTCAACTCCATGTGGGGGTGCCTGATGATCTTCAGAACTTCCCAATACCTTTTGTAAAAGCTAAAAATCACAAATCAATATCACCAATCAATGATAAGCTAAAATCAACAGTGGATTAAATTGATAGACACCTCTAGCGCCCTTAACTAAACCCTCATTGGTGTGTGCCAATAAAATATTTTTTGTCTATTACAATTTTATGAGAAGCACAATATTTAATAACAAGAAAAACAGATTCTTACCTTCTACAACTTATAAACAGCTTTTTGTCTCCCCCTCAGGATGATCAGTCCCTCAGTTGGTGTCTAAAACAATTCTAGCAGCTACTTTAACCCTTCTATCAATGAGGTAACCTTAAGGATTCCTCCTAGAATTTACCTTAATATTTTAAGAATAAATAAAAGATATAGGTATAATAAAAATAAAAACCTATCTTAAGCTAAAAAGCTACAGCAAATATCTTCTTCCAGCAGGCAACATGTTCTTCTAACAAGCTCAAAGAGAGTCCCAAAAATCTCCCAAAACTCCTGCCTCTTTTATACCCTACTCCTCATATTCTGCTAACTCATCGTGGCTAACACCTGCCCCGATGGCGCATTCAGTGGTTGACACCTAATGTGGCCATTTCTCAAAAGGTGCTTTATCAGCACCAACTAGCCCCCACCTTTTTTCCTCACCTAGTTAAGACGTGCGCCTTCACAGGATGCCCCCCTCCCTGCCTCCTCCTGGCTGCTCTGACCTGGGGATATCCAGGGCACCCTTAATATGCTTTATTAACATTACCTTTTAAAACATTAATTTTTAAACATTAACCTTTCTTACTCCAATCAATTTTAATCTCACTCCAACCTAACTTTTTGCTCCCATTACATCCTAAACGTTCAACATTTTAAACACTTGAACATTATAACAAACACAGTTCATTTTTATAGCAGCCATATAAAATCAGCATGATCACTTTGCTCACATCGGCTGTCTGTGACCAGGCAAAAAAAACTTTCCAAACCAAACCTTCATATCATGACTGCTAACCGCCACAAACAGACTACATCGTCGTCACATCATAGTCAACATAGCTACTAGAACTAACACGTTAGTAAACCTGCTACAATCATGCAGTACAGTGTACAGTTAGCAGCAAGCAGTTTAGCAGTTACATCAGTGGTCCCTGGTGGCAATAAATGAATAAAACCTTACCTTGACTTGGAAGAGTTCCAGTGTTGAATAATCATAGTTCGGACTATCCAAATAAAGTGTGACTGATTCTACAAGTGTCTAGAACTCTATTGCAGGGATGCGACACCATTCTTCCACAATAAATTCCATTTGGTGTTTTGTTGATGGTGGTGGAAAAAACTGTCTCAGGCACCACTCCAATCACACACACACACACACACACACACACACACACACACACACACACACACACACACACACTTTAAACCCCCTATGCTCCTTTGAGTCACTGAGATCTCGTCTTCTAGCCATGGTAACCCTAACCCATTTCTATACATGACCCTAAGCATCATGGGAAATGTATTTCTTATTTAATTCAGGAACCACACCTGTGTGGAAGCACCTGCTTTCAATATGTTTCCTTTATTTTGGCTGTTACCTGTATGTGGCTAACTCACTAATTTTTATTGCTCATGTTTATATATATATACACATTTCATGAATTTATGTTGATTTGCTTTGCCCTCTTTGACAAATGTTAGTCTATATTTTCATACAGAAAGTGAGGACACAGATTTTTCTTCCTGTTCTGAAAACAGGAATCAGAGAATCTGAACGATGCTGAGGAAAGGTGCGAGGGGCTCATCAAGAGCAAGATCCAGCTGGAGGCCAAACTCAAAGAGACGACCGAGAGGCTGGAGGATGAGGAGGAAATGAACGCTGAGTTGACAGCCAAGAAGAGGAAGCTGGAGGATGAGTGCTCTGAGCTGAAGAAGGACATTGATGACCTGGAGCTCACCCTGGCCAAAGTGGAGAAGGAGAAGCACGCCACTGAAAACAAGGTCTCGTGTCTTACCATAGACAGTCTAACCAAACAAGAATCAAAATAGTAATCAACTCAAGACATAGCTTAACAGAAATGGAATTCAAGTCGTATTCTGGGTGCAGGAAAAATTGTTGAATTTCAGTTGCGGGGTACTCCCCACATTCATTGCATATTCGGCTCCCCCTTGTTTATGACTTCCATTCAGCACACTGCCATCTAGTGGTGAATCAATAGTACAGCACTTGTTGATACATTTCTAATCTGAATGAAATGAATGCAATAGATTTCAAACTAAATCTTCCCTTTATGGTGAAGTGACCAAAGACACATTTTGTTTTGACCGTTTTCAGGTTAAAAACCTGACAGAGGAGATGGCATCTATGGATGAGAGTGTTGCCAAGCTGACCAAGGAGAAGAAAGCCCTCCAAGAGGCCCACCAGCAGACACTGGACGACCTGCAGGCAGAAGAAGACAAAGTCAACACTCTGACCAAAGCCAAGACCAAGATGGAACAGCAAGTGGATGACGTGAGTGGAGTTTGACATTTTGGCCATGATGGCATTATCTTCAGTTGTTTGGATTTGAACAATATATGTGTGTTTTTATGTTGTAGCTTGAGGGTTCTCTGGAGCAAGAGAAGAAGCTCCGTATGGACCTTGAGAGAGCCAAGAGAAAGCTGGAGGGAGATCTGAAACTGACCCAGGAGTCCATAATGGACCTGGAGAATGACAAGCAGCAGTCTGATGAGAAAATCAAGAAGTAAACAAACAAATGGCTGCAGTATTACCTACTACATTGATCAACATAATGGGGGTTCTTGACTAATTCTTGTAATTATGAATTAGCATTTGCATGTGATTTTTAAAAGCAAAGTGAATGGTATGATTCTCTGTCTTTAAACTATCGAAACCAAAACCAACTCTGCAATCTACGTGTTTGTGTTTCTTAGGAAGGACTTTGAGACCACCCAGCTCCTCAGCAAGATTGAGGATGAGCAGTCTCTGGGAGCTCAGCTGCAGAAGAAGATCAAGGAACTCCAGGTACAACAGGATATAAGCTCCAGTACAGGAAAGCACCTGAATCATCTCCTGGTAGCACACCTTTCTACTGGTGGCTTCTGATGGCTCAGTAGGCTGGAAGATGGTGTTTCTTGCTGCTGCTTCTTACTGATGTTATGATGGTGCTTCCGTAGAGTTAGATAGAGAACTAATACTTTATCTGTGACATTATGGCCCCTGTGACAGCATGGACAGCTCAATTTTAACGTAGTCGATTGTCTTCTTCTTTTGTGCTTGAAAAAAGTGTAAACCTAATATTTGTGATTTACCGCCACCTGCAGTGCTGGAGTCCTGAGCAAAATCTTGTCATTAATTTATTGCTGCCACAAGATGGTGGTGTTATAGCTTAAAGACATTTTCTAAACATAGGCAACACAGTTTGAAAAAGACAACCCTCTAATCATTGGCCCAGTTAACTACTTTAAAATGGTGGAAGCCCTCAATGGCAATGTCCTAAAATGGGTTCCATCCATCCAGAGTCCTCTATCTAACTCTATGGGTAGATTCTACTGCTGTGGGTTTGGTTCCTGCATGGGACACTGTCTATTGAATATATTAGTGTAACTGACTTTGTTTCAACATATTTATGCAAAATATACATCCTATTATTATTTTGTGAGGTTCCAATGTTTCAACTTTATTGTAGTGTTCATTCCCCGCTGCTCCTGCCCCCTGCTTTAGGCCCGTATTGAGGAGCTGGAAGAAGAAATTGAGGCTGAGCGTGCTGCCAGGGCCAAAGTTGAGAAGCAGAGGGCTGATCTCTCCAGGGAACTTGAGGAGATCAGCGAAAGGCTAGAGGATGCCGGAGGTGCCACTGCTGCTCAGATTGAGATGAACAAGAAGCGCGAGGCTGAGTTCCAGAAGCTGCGTCGTGATCTTGAAGAGTCCACCCTGCAGCATGAGGCCACAGCCGCCGCTCTGCGCAAGAAGCAGGCCGACAGTGTGGCTGAGCTTGGGGAGCAGATTGACAATCTGCAGCGCGTCAAGCAGAAGCTGGAGAAGGAGAAGAGTGAGTACAAGATGGAGATTGATGACCTCTCCAGCAACATGGACACCATCGCCAAGGCTAAGGTGAGTAGTGATGTTTTTTGGTCAGGCAGTGTTGAGGAGGGTCAACTACATTACCATTCACGTCAACTGAAGTAATAATGGTACATGTTTCACTAACAGGGCAATCTGGAGAAGATGTGCCGTACTCTTGAGGACCAGCTGAGTGAGATCAAGACTAAGAATGATGAGAATCTTCGCCAGGTTAACGACATCAGTGGACAGAGGGCCAGACTTCTGACAGAAAATGGTACCATCAACAATTAACAACAAACCAATGTTTTCCTTAAGTCTAGTCCACATTAAAATATTTGGATAAAAGCATCTGATAAATTGAATATATTATCGCATAGTTTCTATTGTACTATTCACCACCTAACATTGCCCTACAATACCTAAAAAACAATTTCAAACATAGAGAACAGAGAAACCATTAACAAGATGTCCCTCTATCTCTGCAGGTGAGTTTGGCCGCCAGCTGGAGGAGAAGGAAGCCCTGGTGTCTCAGCTAACCAGAGGCAAACAGGCCTTCACCCAGCAGGTGGAGGAGCTGAAGAGGCAGATTGAGGAGGAGGTCAAGGTAAGGGACCCAATATGGACTCCACCAACCACAGAGTTTAGAGAAATATCTACATACAGTGGGGGAAAAAAGTATTTAGTCAGCCACCAATTGTGCAAGTTCTCCCACTTAAAAAGATGAGAGAGGCCTGTAATTTTCATCATAGGTACACGTCAACTATGACAGACAAAATGAAAAAAAAAATCCAGAAAATCACATTGTAGGATTTTTTATGCATTTATTTGCAAATTATGGAGGAAAATAAGTATTTGGTCAATAACAAAAGTTTCTCAATACTTTGTTGTATACCCTTTGTTGTCAATGACACAGTTCAAACGTTTTCTGTAAGTCTTCACAAGGTTTTCACACACTGTTGCTGGTATTTTGGCCCATTCCTCCATGCAGATCTCCTCTAGAGCAGTGATGTTTTGGGGCTGTCGCTGGGCAACACGGACTTTCAACTCCCTCCAAAGATTTTCTATGGGGTTGAGATCTGGAGACTGGCTAGGCCACTCCGGGACCTTGAAATGCTTCTTACGAAGCCACTCCATCGTTGCCCGGGCGGTGTGTTTGGGATCATTGTCATGCTGAAAGACCCAGCCACGTTTCATCTTCAATGCCCTTGCTGATGGAAGGAGGTTTTCACTCAAAATCTCACGATACATGGCCCCATTCATTCTTTCCTTTACACGGATCAGTCGTCCTGGTCCCTTTGCCGAAAAACAGCCCCAAAGCGCAGTAGGTATGGTGTTCTTTGGATTCAACTCAACATTCTTTGTCCTCCAAACACGACGAGTTGAGTTTTTACCAAAAAGTTATATTTTGGTTTCATCTGACCATATGACATTCTCCCAATCAGATCATATGAGCGGAGTGGAGCGGGAGCGAGCGTGGAGCGTGAGCGGACGGATTTTGAACAGAGCGCAGAGCGACATTTTTAAAAGGACGGAGTGTCGCCCTATGTCCCGCTCCAATTTCGCATGCTCAAGCCTGACCCAGAATCCATCTGTTTAATTTAATTTGTGTCGTCCATGAATTTGTATTTTATAGAGCGAGAGGAGCAGCAGCAGCAACAAGAGAAAAGGGTTGAGGAATTCAAAAGTGTATTCACTGCATGCAAAGGCCCAACCATAACAAGGGAGAGAAAAAGAGAGCTGGATGTAGCATTTTTTAAAATGATTTTCATGGACTATGAACCGCTGAGTAAAGGAGAATGCGAAGGGATGCAACACTTCGCCAGCGCAGCTCAACCGGGCTACACCCCCCCAAGAAACTATGATAAATCAGTACTTTACTGTCAAATTTACATCTGAGATGCCCCATTCACATGCTTCAGCTGGCGATCAAAAACGCAGTTAACGAGCACGACAACATTAATAGGCTGTTAGTGAAAGTCGGGCACCTGGTGAAAAGTGTACGCAAGAGCACAGAGGAAACCGACCAATTAGGTGTCCGCCCCACAAATGCCTGCGCCATTCGATGGAGCAGCCAGCTGCGGATGATTCAGTCATTCATCCGGTTGTTCCAAAAAGACCCGTTATGGCAAAACAAACTCAAGTCTAACGTTGCTAACATCACCCTGAATCAAGTACGGCAGCTGACGTACCTTGTCAGTGTGCTGACACCACTAGCAGACCTCACAGACAAAATGCAGAAGGAGCTGGGGAACCTGGGGATGATCCTCCCTGCTGTCACAGAAATCAAATCCCTGCTCACCGATTACACTCACGCTGCACTTCCAATGGGCATCGCTGCTTTTGCAGAAACATTGGCAAACAACGTGTCAATTCGCTATGGAATATACTATACTGATTAACATCTCATTTTAGCGTCAGTGTTAGATCCCCGTTTCAAGACAGAATGGATAATCCGAGATGAGTCTGTATGCAACAAATTCGGGGAGATAAAGTAAGGCTGTGGTTTAAGCTAAAGGTGAAATACATGCAGATTTTGTTCCTTTTTTGGAGTGAGCGGGGGGCGATTTGAGTGGAGCGCGATGCAAACTGCGTTGAGCGCTGAGCGATAATGAGCGGACTGGCCTGATGTGGCTTTGAGCGGGGGGAGCGGAGGGGTGAACAGCTCCGTGAGCGAGGAGCTGAGATTCTCACCGCTCCACTCCGCTCATATGCTCTGCTCCCAATCCTCTTCTGGATCATCCAAATGCACTCTAGCAAACTTCAGATGGGCCTGGACATGTACTTTGAAGAGGGGGATGACCGCAGCAGCTTTCGTATCTCTGGGGATCTCAGACGTTACGAAAGAGAGGTTGAACAGGCTAGTAATAGGGGTTGCGACAATTTCGGCGGCTAGTTTTAGAAAGAAAGGGTCCAGATTGTCTAGCCCAGCTGATTTGTAGGGGTCCAGATTTTGCAGCTCTTTCAGAACATCAGCTGTCTGAATTTGTGTGAAGGAGAAGCAGGGGGGGGCATTGGCAAATTTCAGCGGAGGGTGCAGAGTTGGTGGCCGGGGTAGTGGTAGCCAGGTGGAACGCATGGCCAGCCGTAGCAAAATGCTTGTTGAAATTCTCGATTATTGTAGATTAATCGGTGGTGATAGTGTTTCCTAGCCTCTGGGAGGAAGTGCTCTTATTCTCCATGGACTTTACAGTGTCCCAAAACTTTTTGGAGTTAGTGCTACAGGATGCAAATTTCTGTTTGATGTGGATGGGAGCGTGCTCTGCTCTCTGTTTCCTCTAGTCCACGATCAGCTTCTTTGTCTTGCTGATGTTTAGAACAGGGAGTACAGGTGGGGACTAAGCACACACCCGAGGGGCCCCTGTATTGAGGGTCAGTGTGGCGGATGTGTTGTTGCCTACCCTCAAAACCTGGGGGCGGCCCGTCAGAAAGTCTCAGGGTCCTGAGCTTAGTGATGAGCTTGGAGGGCACTATGGTGTTGAATGCTTAGCTGTAGTCAATGAACAGCATTCTCACATAGGTGTTCTTTTTGTCCAGGTGGGAGAGGGCAGTGTGGAGTGCAGTAGAGATTGCATCATCTGTGGATCTGTTGGGGCGGTATGTGAATTGGAGTGGGTCCAGGGTGTCCATGTCCTTGTTCAGCCAAGACTCTGAGAAACATAGAATATTACAGTTCTTCAGGTCCCATTGATAGGACGGAGTTGATCCAGTTTGTTTGCCAGTGACTGCACATTCTCCAACAGAACAGAGGGCAACGGCGGTCTATCCTAACCCTAACCCTAACCCAGAACAGAGGGCAATGGCGGTCTATTTGTTCGCCGACGTAATCTCGTTAGGAGGCCGCCTCACCTGCCTCTTTTTCACCGCCACTTTCGAGTCCCAGGGATTAGGCCCTGGTCCGAAGTAAGCAGAAGGCCCAGAGCTTCCGATTCGTTGAAGTAGAAATCTTCATCCAAATCGAGGCAAGTGATCGCTGTTCTGATGTCCAGAAGGAAATGATGGCGGAGACATTACGTACAAAAAAGTTAAGATCAGCATTAAAAAAAACAGCAGAATTGGTCAGAATCCCGCAAAATGTCCACTATCCACTGCAGCGCCATCTACTTTCATTTGTTTTACTATCTCTCTAATCTCTCTGTTTTTCCCTTTCTCTCTCACAGGCTAAAAACGCACTGGCCCATGGTGTCCAGTCTGCCCGCCATGACTGTGACCTCCTGAGGGAGCAGTTTGAGGAGGAGCAGGAGGCCAAGGCAGAGCTGCAACGCGGCATGTCCAAGGCCAACAGCGAGGTGGCTCAGTGGAGGACTAAGTATGAAACTGATGCCATTCAGCGCACAGAGGAGCTGGAGGAGGCCAAGTGAGTCGCACGCAACAGCAACAACTCACATATAGGGTGTGGATGGTGATGGCGGTAGGGTAGTCTCGTAAACCCACACCCTAGGCAACAGCGGTGTGGTCTGGTTTCTTGGCAACTTCAATAAGAAAAATAAAAGTGGGGTGGGTCCTCTTAAAAATAACCCCTGTGATCTCCATCTTGCTAGCTACTATTTGGTATTTTATTCAAACCGATAAGGTACCCACTGGGCAGACCACGTCATTTCAATGTGGAGAATTTGGGTAATATTTGGTAGATACATTGATCAATGAGATTCCAGCACATTTTCACCCACTCAAAAAGACAGCTAAGAGTTTGATGCTTTCAACCATCTAAAATCACAACCAAATTACAATTGAAAATCAATGTCTGATTGTTTTATTTAGTTGTCACCTAAATGGGTTATCACTGTGCTTTCAATCATTTAAAAGTACACCAAAGTTAAAATGGGAATCCAATGTCATATTTTGTTTCTTTATAAAAAATATAAATAAAATCAATCAGATCAAGCGTTAACCGGTGATAGCCGACACCCACATAGCTGATTTTTTGGCGGTGTCGAAAGTGTAACTGCGTTGGAATTGTCAAATCGGTGAGCAGCTGCTCTTGATCATTGTCACAAAGCCACACCCATCCCACTTGCGATACAAGTTCAGAACGAGAAAGTGTGGGCTATATAGAAATAATGACGCTCAAATTGAAAATCATTAAACTAAATAATGAGGATTTCTATCAGCCTAATTTCCAGTGTTCAAACTTGTAAACAGGGCTGAATGAGATTAATGCGACTCCATGCAGCCAATGGCAATGTCCGCTTTAGGTATAATGCCAGGAGATGCTTGTGGATTGGACAGCTCTAAGGCAGTTCCACCTCCGACACCGCCAAAACAACCGCTATCTGGATGTCGGCTTAAATCTGGATGTCGGATCTGATTGAATAGAGCCCTTAACGTTATCAATATGCTTGATCAAATTGCACAACCAAATTACCTGGATTTCAGCTAGTTGAGATGACATTGAAGTACATAGTGCACGTGATCCCTGTGTAGTTCAGTTGGTAGAGCATGGTGCTTGCAACGCCAGGGTTGTGGGTTCGATTCCCACGGGGGGCCAGTATATATTTTTTAAATTATGCACTCACTACCTGTAAGTCGCTCTGGATAAGTGCGTCTGCTAAATGTCTAATATGTAAATGTAAAGTGATCAATGCCGTTTGAGATTCTGTGCAGATTATTATAGCAATTGTGAAGATTTCCACAGACCTGCGACCCTGAACGCTTTCTGTGATTACATAAGAAGACATTTATTGTTACAGTAACCTCAAAATGTGGCCATGGATGTGATACTCATTGTAAGGTTGAATAAATACTGTTACATTAGTTTGTAAGATAGTTACTAGCTTCATGTTAGGCTGTCTTACAAAAGTAATATTGAAGTGTGTCTGGCTTGAATTCCAGTTTGTCTACAAATTAATAATTGAAATGTTGGATTCATGTCTCCATTTCAACCAAAAATCAATGTTAATTAATAGGTCTAAATCAAACTTTAAAGGATTTGATTTAGTCATTCTTTAACTTAGATTTTTGGTTGAGAGACTTGAGATGGAGACATGAATCCAACATATTATTTTGCTAACTTGCGGATTCCATTTGAAAGCAACCAAAGCTTGAAACCCTAGGCCTATATGTCTATTTTTAGTTGAATCCTGGGTTAAATTTAAACAATAGCTGTTGATGACTTCTCAAAGGCCTAAATTGCATCATTGATGATATGACTGATAAAATATGGTTACATTTCATTTGCCCTGTTAAACCTACCCTTTGGAATGACTTTGATAGCAACAGTGAATCTATTAAGTGGAGATTTCTCAACAATCATTCTCACGATAGCACATTGGTAACAGTCTGTAACAAATATGAAAGCCAAGCAGGGCTTGGTTAAAACCCTGGATGGGAGACCAAAGGGTAGTTGTAGATAGATCAACTCTCCAGTAGGAGGTGCTGCCCAGCCTATTGTTTTTTTTTCTTATAGTGGATATTATGTTGAAGATCTGATGTTGTTTCAAAGGTACAAATTCAACATATTTTATAAAAGGTTTGTCAGTGTTGAAAATATAACCATGTTGATGTAATCCTGTAGTTGAATTGTCACCCTCAAAAAAATTGTTTGTTAATAACTTTTTTTCAAATCCAATGTATTTTCCATGTAACAATACATTGACAAATGATGTTGAAACAATGTTGATTTAACCAGTTTGTGCCCAGTGGGTAGTGATGTAGGCAGTGACATAGTTCTAAACTTCCATTCTATTATGTACAGAGGTGTTAGCCTGGAACATTGGAACATTGTTGGAGGCAACCCGGATGTCTAGAGAGACTAGTGGTAGGGGGCTCTGAGAAAATGTCAATAAGTATTGTAACATTTGTTTGGAACAAATGATTCACTATAAAACCACCCTCTGTTGTCCAATAGGAAGAAGCTAACCCAGCGTCTGCAGGAGGCTGAGGAGACCATCGAGGCAGTTAACGCCAAGTGCGCCTCCCTGGAGAAGACCAAGCAGAGGCTGCAGGGAGAGGTGGAGGACCTCATGATTGATGTTGAGCGAGCTAACGCAATGGCCTCCAACCTTGACAAGAAGCAGAGGAACTTTGACAAGGTGAAAATGAATAAACCTCACCCTAGGGGGATATTTTCTGTCTGCTATATGATCAGTTGTAGTGTAATTGTACAATATTCCTGATTCAAAACTCCATCAATGAGTTCTAATGAAAATCCCATGGATTTCCCTAGGTTCTGTCAGAGTGGAAGCAGAAGTATGAGGAGGGCCAGGCTGAGCTGGAAGGAGTTCAGAAGGAGGCTCGCTCAATGAGCACTGAACTATTCAAAATGAAGAACTCCTACGAGGAGGCTCTGGATCATCTGGAGACTCTGAAGAGAGAGAACAAGAACCTGCAACGTGAGGATCTGACAGCAGATCTATTTTGCTCATGTTTGACTAGTGTTTTGAAAATGACATCCAGATTACTATTACACCATCTCTGAATTTTCATGTACAGTATAAAATTATATTATTGGGGCTCGTAATCGGTGTTCCTTCGAACAACCCAATGAAGTGGAGGGCAATTAGATTTGCAAGACCATATGAAGTGCTGTTAATGAATTATCTGTTATTATGATTCAGTGTCAACTTCAGTACATTGGTAATATCCACAAAAAAATCTCCCAAGTCTAAACTGCTCCTGTGTTTGTGTGTGCAGAGGAGATCTCTGACCTGACTGAGCAGATCGGAGAGACTGGCAAGAGCATCCATGAGCTGGAGAAGGCCAAGAAGACCGTGGAGACAGAGAAGTCTGAGATCCAGACAGCTCTGGAGGAGGCTGAGGTACAAACTACAGCTGTTTGATGGGAAAAGCAGTGTTACACGAGCCAATACCAACTACAGTCTAATGCTCCCTGTATTGGTGTTTATTGTAGTCATATATATTTAATTGCTTGTGTTATTCACGTCCAAATGTATTGAACACAATTCGCCTGACTGCTTCTCCTTGTCCAGGGCACACTGGAGCACGAGGAATCCAAGATTCTGCGTGTGCAACTGGAGCTGAACCAGGTCAAGGGTGAGGTGGACAGGAAGCTGGCTGAGAAGGACGAGGAGATGGAGCAGATCAAGAGGAACAGCCAGAGGTTGACTGACTCCATGCAGAGCACCCTGGACTCTGAGATCAGGAGCAGGAATGACGCCCTGAGGGTGAAGAAGAAGATGGAGGGAGACCTGAACGAGATGGAGGTCCAGCTGAGCCACGCCAACCGCCAGGCGGCTGAGGCCCAGAAACAGCTGAGGAACGTCCAGGGACAGCTCAAGGTAAAGGGAATGGGACATCAGGCTCAAAAACCTGAACATGGGGAGGGATTTGTTTGTGAATCTTTAAAAAAGGATAGAACAGAGGAATTGAATGGATTGGACTAATATGCTGTAGAAATGTAGGGATATTGAGGAAATTCTTACCAATAAACATTTCTATCACCGATCCTATCACCCCTACTTCCACAAGTCCTAATGAACCTGTCATTATGAACCCCAGGATGCCCAATTGCACCTTGATGACGCCGTCCGCGCCTCAGAGGACATGAAGGAGCAGGCAGCCATGGTGGAGCGCAGGAACGGTCTGATGGTGGCTGAAATCGAGGAGCTGAGAGTTGCTCTGGAGGTGACAGAGAGAGGCCGCAAAGTGGCTGAGACTGAGCTGGTAGACGCCAGCGAGCGTGTTGGACTGCTACACTCCCAGGTACAGGTCAAAATCTATTTCTTATGAAACCAAACATACCATTTACACACATGATATTCGACAGTGCTTGCTTTTAAATGTCATAACTTCTGCCTTATAACATGTAAGTTCTCTTGAGAGTCAAACAAATTGTCTTGTTTCCCACAGAACACCAGCCTTCTGAACACCAAGAAGAAGCTGGAGACTGACCTGCTGCAGGTGCAGGGAGAGGTGGAAGACATCGTCCAGGAAGCCAGGAATGCAGAGGAGAAGGCCAAGAAGGCCATCACTGACGTGAGTCCTTCTGATCTATTCAATTACAGCAACTTGATTTGTCCCCAATGGTAATTGGGCTGGTTAACACTAGAATGGCTGAGCCTCGAGGCATCCCAGTTTGAGCCAATGTAGATTCTAACAGCCTAATAAATACATTTATTGCCTTCAGAAAGTACTCATACCCCTTGACTTATTCCACATGTTGTTGTTCCAGCCTGAATTCAAAATGGATTACATATTTTTTCACCAATCTACAAACAAAACTCCATAATGACAAAGTGAAAACATGTTTTTAGGAAATTTTGGAAATGTGATAAATGAAATACAGTCAATACTTTGTAGAAGCACCTTTGGCAGCGATTACAGCTTTGATTAGTCTTGGGTATGTCTCTATCAGCTTTGCACATCTGGATTTTGGGATTTTCTCCCATTGTCCTTGCAGATTTTCTCAAGCTCTGTTAAGTTATATGGGGAGTGGATGTGAACAGAAAACTTAAAGTTTTTCCATTGATTTTCAATGGGATTCAAGTCTGGGCTTTGGCTGGACTTTCAAATGTTTGTTCTGAAGCCATTCCAGTGTTGCTTTGACTGTATGCTTGTGGTCACTGTCCTGTTGGAGCGCACATTTTTGCCCCAGTCTAAGGTCGCTTGCACTCTGAATCAGGTGTGCCTGTATTTTGCTCCATTCATGGTTCCCTCTATACTTACCAGTCTCCCTGCCGCTGAAAGGATCCCCATAGCATGATGCTGCCACCACCATGCTTCACGGTAGGGAAGAAGGGTGATGAGCTTTGCCTGGTTTTCTCCAGACATAGCAGTTTGCATTCAGGCCAAAGAGTTCAATTTTTGTGTCATCAGACCACATCATCTTTTGCCTTATGCTCTTAGTCGTTCATGTGCCTTTTTGCAAACTCCAGGCGTGCTGTCATGTGCCTTTTTCTCAGTAGTGGCTTCCATCTAGCCACTCTCCCATAAAGCCCAGATTGGCGAAGTGCTGTAGAGACGTCCTCGTGGCAGGTTTTCCCATCTCAGCCAAGGAACTCTGTAGTTCTGTCAGAGTGGTCCGGTTGCTCAGTTTGGTCGGACGGCCAGCTCTAGGCAGAGTCTGGTAGTTCCATATTTTTTCAATTTCCCAATGATGGAGACCACTGTGGTCTTGGAAACGTTCAACATTTGTTTTATACCCTTCCCCAGATACACAGTACCAGTCAAAAGTTTGGACACACCTACTCATTCCAGGGTTTTTCTTTATTTTTAGTATTTTCTACATTGTAGAATACTAGTGAAGATATCAAAACTATGAAATAACACATTTGGAATCATAAGTAACCATAAAAGTGTTCAACAAATCAAAATATATTTGAGATTTGAGATTCTTCAAATAGCCACCCTTTGCCTTGATGACAGCTTTGCACACTCTTGGCATTCTCTCAACCAGCTTCAACTGGAATGCTTTTCCAACAGTCTTGAAGGAGTTGGCTGCTTTTCCTTCACTCTGCCGTCCGACTCATCCCAAACCATCTCAATTGGGTTGAGGTCGGGGGATTGTGGAGGCCAGGTCATCTGATGCAGCACTCCATCACTCTCCTTCTTAGTAAAATAGCTCTTACACAGCCTGGAGGTGTGTTGGGTCATTGTCCCACTAAGCCCAAACCAGATGGGATGGCGTATCACTGCAGAATGCTGTGGTAGCCATGCTGGTTAAGTGTGCCTTGAATTCTAAATAAATCACAGACTGTGTCACCAACAAAGCACCCGCACACCATAACACCTCCTCCTCCATGCTTTACGGTGGGAAATACACATGCAGAGATCATCCGTTCACCCACACCGCATCTCACAAAGCCACGGCGGTTGGAACCAAAAATCTCCAATTTGGACTCCAGACCAAAGCAATGCAGATGTAGATGCACAGTGGCTAGGAAAAATCTCTTAGAAAGGCAGGAACCTAGGAAGAAACCTAGAGAGGAACCAGGCTCTGAGGGGTGGCCAGTCCTCTTCTGGCTGTGCCGGGTGGAGATTATAAGAGTACATGGCCTTTAAGGCCAGATCATTCTTTAAGATGTTCAAACGTTCATAGATGACCAGCAGGGACAAATAATAATCACAGTGGTTGTCAGTTGGCTTTTCATAGCCGAGCATTCAGAGGATGAGACAGCAGGTGAGAGAGAGAGATGAAAACAACAGGTCTGGGACAAGTTATTGATATGTTCATCAAGAGAGAGATCAGGGTCAAGAGTAACGCTGAGGTCCTTCAGTTTTATTTGAGACGACTATTCAACCATCAATATTAATTGTCAGATCAAAAATGCAGATCTCTTTGTTTCTTGGGACCTAAAACAAGCATATATGTCAGAGTTTTAAAGTTTTAAAAATGCAGCCATTCACTGCCTTATGTCTGAAACACAGGCTTCCAAGGTAGGCAATTTTTGAGCTTCACCATGTTTTGTTGAAATGTAGGGTTAGGGTTAGTGTGTCGTCCGCATAGCAGTGAGAGTTTAAGTTGTGTTTCCGAATGACATCACCAAGAGGTAGAATATATAGTGAAAACAATAGTGGTCCTAAAATGGTAAAAATTCTAATAATTAGCTGGTTGATTATCTGCATCCAGTTAATTACAACTAAGGTTGGAGCAAAAACCTACAGAAGGGTAGCTCTCCAGGAACAGCGTTGCTCTAGCGTTGCTGTAGCGTTGCTGTAGCGTTGCTCTAGCGTTACTGTAGCGTTGCTCTAGCGTTGCTGTAGCGTTGCTCTAGCGTTGCTGTAGCGTTGCTCTAGCGTTGCTGTAGCGTTGCTGTAGCGTTGCTCTAGCATTGCTGTAGCGTTGCTCTAGCGTTGCTCTAGCGTTGCTGTAGCGTTGCTCTAGCGTTGCTCTAGCGTTGCTCTAGCGTTGGAGATCCCTGGTCTAGAGAGAAACACATTAAACAAACTACCATTCCAGGCGGCCATGATGGCTGAGGAGCTGAAGAAAGAGCAGGACACTAGCTCTCACCTGGAGAGGATGAAGAAGAACCTGGAGGTCACAGTCAAGGACCTGCAGCACCGCCTGGATGAGGCTGAGAATCTGGCCATGAAGGGAGGCAAGAAGCAGCTCCAGAAACTGGAGTCCAGGGTGAGTTAACAGCAGGGTGGATTAGAGTGGATTGAAAGACTGATTTCTGGATATTTATTTGATCATGTAAAAATACACAGGGGCATTGTGTAATGACTTTTCTCTCAATAACCCACCTAGATAAGGAAAAGCTGTTGTTAACATTACAGATCCCTTCCATTAAAATTGTAAAAGTACATATGAACAGACAACTATTGTGCCTCCTTGACCGAGTAGAAGACTCTGTTTTACAAAGATTTGTTACTCATGATTTCACCACCTCAAACACATGCCTATGTTCATGTCTTCTACAAAGGTGCGTGAGCTTGAGACTGAGTTGGAGGCCGAGCAGAAAAGAGGTGTAGACGCGGTCAAGGGAGTCCGCAAGTATGAGCGCAGAGTCAAGGAGCTCACTTACCAGGTAAGAGGAAGTGCCTTCTTCACACACTTGACACTAACACAGACAGGTTTGTGTATAAAACTGAGGCATTGATTCTTTGATTTTGTCCCACAGACTGAGGAAGATAAGAAGAACGTTGGCAGACTTCAGGACCTGGTAGATAAGCTGCAGATGAAAATGAAGGCCTACAAGAGGCAGGCTGAGGAAGCGGTGAGTCACAGACTTAGTCAAATACTCTGAAAGCTTTCGAAAACATATTTTTCCCTAGTTAACTTCATGTCAATACAGTTTAGTTAAAGCTGAGATCCGCCAAAGGTGAAACAGCAACACTGGTTGCCCCAGGCACATTTGTTATCATTTTTGTTTTGTTTATCAAACGAAGGAGATGAGTATGAAGTTTTGTGCTAAAATATAATCTATTGTGTGTGCAAGTTAGTGAAATGCTCAACTTGCAAGCCCTACCCAACAGTGCAGTAGTCAATAATAGTATAACTAATAAATACATATATAACCCTAACACGAGAAATAAACAAGAGGAAAAATATATAATTTAGAAAAAAAAGTGTTTGTTGTTTTAAGTAGCGTCTTTGTTGTTGTAATAACGGATGCTTCACTGCAACGGATTCCAACTTTAAAGTACTTCTGCACAACAGTCAGTTGATATTGCAAGTTATTGCTGAAGACATTATGCACATTTCTGAGGACCTCCTATGTCTGTGTTACCTACTTAAAGAATAGGGTTATTATTCATATTAATCTGCTGTTCTGGGGTTTGGTCTACTGGTAGCACTGCAGCAACACACTTTCTCTGCTGTATCATCTAGCCCCCTATATACCGTACATTGCTGTCTGACGATAAAAAAAAACTTTAAATACTTACAAAATATATATATATCTGAATTTGCTACCTGAATCTTCAAACTTTGAAACTGATGTTATGCTCTCCCTCGCTTTTCCTCACCCAGGAGGAAGCAGCCAATCAGCACATGTCTAAGTTCAGGAAGGTTCAGCATGAGCTGGAGGAGGCTGAGGAGCGTGCGGACATCGCTGAGACTCAGGTCAACAAGCTCAGAGCCAAGACCCGCGACACTGGAAAGGTACAGAGCTACACCTGACTCATGTTCAAATATGACCACATCAACACCACCTATGCTTCACTATAATTCAAACTAGGTTGGTACTTCGAAATTCTAAATAGAAAATCCAATCTGAGCACTGCTTGATCCATTATATTATTTTGATGTTCATATATTTTGCATGTTCATTATTACTGATCCATTCGTTTCCTTCTTCCTTCCTACAGGGCAAAGAAGCTTCTGAATAAACAAGATGAAACATCTTACTGTGTTGCATAAAATAGGACTTTTATGATGACATTTTGAGCATTGATTAAAAACATGTTGGCCAACATATACTTATTTTTTGACTGTGGACTTATTACTCAGCAAACAGCTTTTTCATACCATAAAAATATTTCACTTTATTTAAAGGAGCAATCTGGTATTCCAAAAAAAAACAAAGCATTCACCCCAACAAAGCAACCATGTTTCTGGGGTAAACCGCTGAGGGATGAGGCTGGAGTTAGTGGAGCAAGCCCTTTGTTCATGTCAATGCCAGAGCATTCAGCCAGAAGGGTCCTACTAATCACCCCCAACAACCCCCAACAACCCCCAACAACCCCCAACAACACCAAACAACCCCCAACAACCCCCAACAACCCCCAACAACCCCAAACAACCCCCAACAACCCCCAACAACCCCCAACAACCCCCAACAACCCCCAACATTCCCCAACAACACCAAACAACACCAAACAACCCCCAACAACACCAAACAACACCAAACAACCCCCAACAACCCCCAACAACCCCCAACAACCCCCAACAACCCCCAACAACACCAAACAACACCAAACAACCCCCAACAACACCAAACAACCCCCAACAACACCAAACAACACCAAACAACACCAAACAACCCCCAACAACACCAAACAACCCCCAACAACACCAAACAACCCCCAACAACCCCCAACAACACCAAACAACACCAAACAAGTACCAAAAACAACCCCATGAACATATAGCTTGGTAGCTGTTTCTAATCAATTTGTCCTGGGAGATGAACATTGGATTGTTATTTTACTTGACATGCATCTTTGATTAATCTCTCCTCATTCATCTTTCAAGCACCACATGGGTTTATAGGCTCATGTAAACCCAATGAGGAGATGGGAGAGATGGAACATGCTGGAACCAAGCGTCTCAAATGGAACCAAGTTATATTTTCGCCACGTATTTCTGAAACCCAGGTTCTTCTGACACCCATTTTGACCTTATTAGTGGACCAGGATGTCCTCACGTTGCTGACATTGGCCCCATAATAGAGCTACAGCAAGATATGAGACCTGGAAAATAAGATCTGGATGAACCGAGGCCAGTGTCATTAAAGCAGCCTTAAGATGTATTGGATTATATGTTCCTGTCCGATCCTCCCAAGGCCCTGCCAAAATATGTCAAATATATGCAATGAAAGTTTTATAATGATAGTTTACTCAACTGCTTAACAACATCTGGCAATTATCAGTATATCAATCCCCACCCAGAGTAAGTTTGGAGCTTAGAGAAACATGTCCCTCAAATACAAAAATGCAGATCGTATATCATGCAAGATCTTTGCACATTAAAATATACTGAACAAAAATATAAACACAACATGCAACAATTTCTAAGATTTCATTGAGTTAAAGTTCATATAAGGAAATCAGTCAATTGAAATAAATGCATTAGGCCCTAATCTATAGATTTCACATGACTGGGAATACAGATATGCATCTGTTGGTCACAGATACCTTTAAAAAATTGTAGGGGCGTGGATCAGAAAACCAGTCAGTATCTGGTGTGACCACCATTTGCCTCATGCCCATACCATAACCCCAACACCACCATGGGGCACTCTGTTCACAACGTTGACATCAGCAAAACGCTCGCCCACACAACGCCATTCATGTGGTTGTGAGGCCGGTTGGACGTACTGTCAAATTCTCTAAAACAACTTTGGAGGTGGCTTATGGTAGAGAAATGAACATTCAATTATCTGGCTACAGCTCTGGTGGACATTCTTCCAGCCAGCATGCCAATTGCACGCTCCCTCAAAACTTGAGACATCTGTGGCATTGTATTGTGTGACAAAACTGCACATTTTAGATTGGCCTTTTATTGTCCCAGGACAAGGTGCACCTGTGTGATGATCATGCTGTTTAATCAGCTTCTTGATATGCCACACCTGTCAGGTGGATGGATCATCTTGGCATAGGAGAAATGCTCACTAACAGGGATAAAAACTAATTTGTGCACACAATTAGAGAGAAATAAGCTTTTTGTGAGTATGGATGAAACATTTCTGGTAACACTTTACATGTTGCATTTATATTTTTGTTCAGTGTAACTTGAATGTCATAAACTCTTAGTCTGCATGGAGTTCCCATAAACAGACCAACTTCATATCTTCTGTCTAATAACAGTGGCATTGGTGCCAGAATGAAGCTGTGTGGAAATGTTGGCAGATATGCCAACACTATAAACCTGCTGTGAAGACGAGAGCACAGTCCAAGACATTCAAAAGGCCTTGATGGGGTCCATCCAGATGGTCAGCCCAGCCTCCTGCTCAACTGGTGCCTCCAGCATTTCCCCCCTATACTGATGTGCTGGGTGGACAATGATCCCAGACCGCAATAGAGGGCACTATAACACCCAGGCTAGAAGAGGTTACTGGAGGGTAGGTAAGGGGACTAAGTTATGTTACCCACGAGGGGCAAACAGGGCACATAGGACCTAGACCAGCCAATCTTCAACATCTCTAATAATCAGGACCAATTGAGAAACCCCCGGAAACCCAACACAGTAGAGAGGATCATTTCAACATGTTCAACCCTCTCCATTGGGGAAATGAACCCCGGTCTCATGCGGGAGCCAGACGTGGGTCGTCATAACGGACATTTTGGTGACCTTATTTGACCTTTTCTACTGCCGGTTGGATCCCACCTTGGGGCACTACTTGTTGAGTAATTAAAACACTAAACAATCCCAATACAGTAACTATTGGTCACTCTATTATGGATTATTATTCTAATATGTATTAATTATAGAATTGTGTCAATTATTAATGATAAACCTTTAAGCTGCACTCTTCCTCCCCTCCCTCCTCATCTCTCCATGTTTCAGCTCCAGATGACAACACCTGAACACACTCCCAGAGGGTTGCATGTCTGCCGACTTCCTTTTGGGCACCCATTTTATTCAGAGAAATATCCAATAAACCAAACTGTTGCTTTAACTGTGAATGTACTTTATTGCAGACATTTTCCTCAAATAAAATGGAGCATACATAAATAAAAAAAGTTATTCCAATGTATTTACATTGGGTCTAATATGGGTGTGTGAGTGAGTGTGAGAGAGTCATGTTTTGTAACTCAAACAAAAGCACACAGAATTTCCCCACAAAGTATACATATATAAAATGAAATGGAGTATACATAAAATAAACAAGTCATGACAATTTATTTACATATTCACATACTGTTGTGTGTGTGGGAGAGCGAGAGAGTGGGAGAGAGTGTGTGTGCATGTTGTATTTTATTTTTCCTTGTCAGCCACCATATCTCCTAACCATGCCCTCTCAACCTACTGTGAGTAAGCACAACTGCACATGTCCATTGTGGGAAATGGACAACACAATCTGTAGGCCTAAATATCTCCAAACCTAAAATAAAATGGAGCATACATAAAATAAACAAGTAATTACAATGTATTTCCATTGGGGATAATGTGTGTGTGACAGAGGCAGAGAGAAGGAGTGTGTGTGCATGTTGTGTTTTATTTGTCCATCTCGGCTTTGTCAGTCTTGATAGGCCCAGTGCCAACCCTAACCCTGTATGAGGCCAACCCTAACCCTTCTGGGTGAGGCTGTCGGGCAGTGGTGGCGTGCATGGCAGATCTGAAAGAGAGATGCACAAAGTGACAGTAAGTATACAGCTCATCAACATGTTTGTGTGCACATCTGTTGGTGTGAGTGAGCATATGTGTATGTAATATAATTCTGAATGACCTGTATCCATCTGGGAATCCTCAAAAGTTTCTCCCTTCACGGCCAGTGTAGTAGGAACTGGTGCAGCCGGTAAATTAAATACCACAGCAGAGGACTACTGTGACTGCAGCTGAACTGCTGGGGGTGGCAGATCTAAAAGAGAGAGGCACAATTTTCTTAACTGACAACAATCATACAACTGAACAGACTGAATGAGTGTAAGGCCTAGATTCAATCAGATCAAGCATTAACCGACGATAGCCAACACCCACATAGCTGATGTTTTGTTGGTGTCTGAGGTGTACCTGCGTTGGATCTGTCAAATCGGTAAGCAGCTGCTCTTACATTTACATTTTTACATTTTAGTCATTCAGCAGACGCTCTTATCCAGAGCGACTTACAGTTAGTGAATACATATTTTTTTATACTGGCCCCCCGTGGGAATCGAACACACAACCCTGGCGTTGCAAACGCCATGCTCTATCAACTGAGCTACATCCCTGCCGGCCATTCCCTCCCCTACCCTGGGCCAATTGTGCGCCGCCCATGAGTCTCCCGGTCGCGGCCGGCTGCGACAGAGCCTGGATTCGAACCAGGATCTCTAGTGGCACAGTTAGCACTGCGATGCAGTGCCTTAGACCACTGCGCCACTCAGGAGCCCTCTTGATTATTGTCACGAAACTACACCCGTCCTACTCACGTTACAAGTTGGAGAAAGTGTAGGCTATATAGAAATAATGACGCTGAAATTGAAAATCAATAAATGAAATAATGAGGATTTCTATCAGCCTAATCGAGGTGTAGATTACATCTCAAATTCCAGTGTTCAAACTTGTAAACAGGGCTGAATGAGATTTCTGTTAATGCGACTCCATGCAGCCAATGGCAATGTCCGCTTTAGGTATAATGCCAGGAGCTGCTTGTGGATTGGACAGCTCTAAGGCAGTTCCACCTCTGTCACCGCCAAATAAAATAAATTAAAATTGTATTTGTCACATGCGCCGAATACAACAGGTGTAGACCTTACAGG